AGTATTTTTAAATGTGTTAATTTGAAATACAATTAATATTGGTAGATATAACCCACATGAACAGAAACTCTTTGGGGTCCCTAATAATTTTTAAGAGGGTAAGGGGATAAGATCCAAAAGTTTGAGCCTCTACCATATAAGATATAAACCCTGCATGCTTATTTTTAGTTAGGAAAATCATTTTTGTAGTTCAGATTGTCCTGCTTACTTGGGACAAAAACCCCTAAAGTGAAAAACATATCAAATAGTTCATCTGTAATGAATATTGGGCCTTGTCTTATGTAATTAAAAGAATTTTTATTAGTGACTCCATGCCAATATCTGGCAACTCTGACAGTTTTTGTGTCCAACACTTCTGTGGTTACATCTTCATAACACCTTACCTCTTCTTTCTCTAATTTTGCATGTTTGCGCTCTGCAGCTACATTTTTCTTCTTATTAAAATTAAACTGTGCATCCTCTTCGGCTTTCTGTAACTTTCTTTTCTTTTCCTCATATTCACCTATAAGGTCTCCTGAAGAGCTGATTTCCTCAAAAAACTGGGTTCTTTCTTTGGGCTTTTTCATTGAAATTGACTCCACAGTTCCCTTTTAAAAACAGTAGAGCACACCAACATATAAGATATAGTGATATATTTTTAAGATCATGAATGAAATATATTATAGTTACTTACCTGAAAAACTAGACAGTTCTGTGCTTTGACTATTATACCTATCTTTTCCAACTCTACTATATAAGCAGAACGACTCACAGGATTATCATCAAAATGAAATTCTGAGCAGCCTCCTAAAATAAAATAAAGGCTGTTATAGGAAGTATAAATATCAGACCTATATCAACAACTATTTAAAATTTAATACAATTATATTTCTTACTGAAAATTTCTGTGTACTGGGAACAGACATTGCAATTTTAGATAGGACAGTGCTATATGATCTGACTATTTGTATCCCCACTAAATACATATATGTTGAAATCCTAAACCCCAAAGGTGATGGTATTAGTAGATGGGGCCTAATCATGCTTGTGGAGCCCTCATGAATGGTGTAAGTGCTCTTATAGAAGAGATTCCACAGAGCTCTCTTGTCCCTTCCACCACGTGAGAATACAATGAGAAGTCCGCAACCTGGAAGAGAGCCCTCATCTGACCATTCTGGCACCCTGATCCTGGACTTCCAGCTTCCAGAACTATGAAAAATAAATTTTTATTGTTTTATAAGCTACCCAGTATGAAAAATAAATTTTTATTGTTTTATAAGCTACCCCGTCCATGATATTTTGTTATAGCAGCCCAAATGGACTAACATGGTCAAGGAACAAGAACAAAGTTGGAAGCATCAAACTTTCTGATTTAAAAATATATCACAAAGCTACAGTAATTAAAACAGTATGGTACTGGCATCAAAACAGATATACAGACCAATGGAACAGAATGGATAATACAGAAAGAAATCCATAAATCTATGGACAACTGATCTTTGACAAGGGTACTGAGACACATAATGGGGAAAAAATAGTCTCTCCAATAAATAGTGCTGGGAAAACTATATATCCACATGCAAAAAAAAAAAAGAAAAAGAAAAAGAAAAAGAAATTGGACCCTTATCTCATGTATAAAAATTAACTCAAATTTACCATGTATAAAAATTAACTCAAAATAGACTGAACATGTAAGATCTAAAATTGCAAAACTACCAGTAGACAACACCAGAGGGGAAGGAAGCTTTTTGACATTGCTCTGGGTGATAATTTTTTGAATATCAAAAACAAAAGCATTAATAAGCAAAAATAAATAAGTGGAACTGCATCAAAATAAGAAGCTTCTGCCCAGAAAAGGAGACGATCAACAGTATAAAAGAAAATCTATGGAATGGGAGAAAATATTTTCAAACCACATATATCCAAAACGTCTGTCTTTAAAATAGGCTCCCCACTACATTTTAACCTAATAACTAGGTAGAAAAATGCTCTTTGACAGTAGAGAAATTTGAACACATATGTCTGCTTAAATAAAGAGTCCTAGTGGAGAATCAAACAGGTACTATTACTTGCTTCTGCAAATTACTATCAAATAGGAAAAAAAAAGAAATCTCTAGATTCACTATGCTAGTAGAAAAGGTAATCTGACTTAACGCTTGAAAAATCAAATGACTCATGAGCAAACATCTACAAAAATCTACCTCGGATAATCCTTGCAAATGTTTTCTCTTTTCCACTTTCCTCCACATATACAATTTTCACACTTGCAGAAGAAGAAACAGGTTTTCCAATATGTGCTCCATGAATAAGTTCTTGAATATTTTTCACTCTCAAATTAGCTGTTTTCTCTCCCATTACAAAACTAAGTGCGTCCATTACATTAGATTTTCCTGGGGAAAAGAAAGAAGTTATTCATTCTTAATGATAAAAATCCTTGCCCATGGCCAAAGAAATGAAATACAGCCAATACATATCTAAATAGTACTGTCTTGTCTGTATTCAAAATGCACATGACTGAACTTTACATAGATCATTCATCAGCTATGGTAGAGTATTAAGTTGTCTAAATTTAAGGCTCTAAATACAAGGATCTAAACCCCAACTCTCTCCCACTTTTAAGTATTATACTATGGCAAATCATTTAACTTCTCTGAATTTCAGTTATTCCCATTTTTTATAAATAATGGTTAACTATATATATATATATATATAAGGGTTAACTATATATATATAATGGCTAACTATATCCAGGATTTTCCTAAGGGCTAAACTAGGGTTGCTGAAATATTTGACTGGCAGGAGTTGGTGGTGTAGAAAAATTACATAGCGGCTCCGAGCCTGCTATATTTTGAAAGGACTACTGGTACCTCGGGATTTAGATTTTGGTAGGGTTTCTACCACTTTTTGATAAAAATGTCTCACTGTGCCTAAACTGTACAAACAATACAGTCTATCTGAATGTTTCAGTAATTCTGTAAGATTTTAAAAAAATAATGATCTACTAACACGTGTTCAAATAAATATATATAAAATGTCACCCGTTAGTTGTGACAAAACTCAGTATGAATACCATACTGAGTTTTGGCCTTTGTATAGCAAAAAGAATGTGAACAGCTTAGGCAAAATTCAGTTTTCGGTAAGCCAGAAATTTTTGTTGTGAAGAGACAGTACTGAAGGCAATGCTAAAATAATCCATAACTGGCTTCATGTGGTTCCTAGTATGTCTCTGGGTTACCAGAGACTGGCAAAGAGGGGAGCTGAGCTTCCAGGGAATGTGGATCTAGCGAGGGGCAAGAATTCGTAAAGGCGTTTTCACAAATATCTTAAGATATGTTGTTACATCACAACACGCATTTTTTAATTAAGAAAAATGAGATCGTTTTTGAACTTCAATTTGGCACTAGTTTAAAAAAGTTCAAAACACCACTTTAACAGCATCTGGAATGATAATGCGCACGCAGGTTCAGTCGTGACCGAAGCTTACGACTATGCGGGTACTCACTGTTGAAATCACAAAACAGAATCGAGCAACCCTTCACATAATCACCAGTTAGAAGGTGCAAATCGACAGCTTGTGGGCCCAGGAACGGCCTGACTAAAGAGTGGTAAGAATGCAAAAGTGTGTAAAGTCTTTCTGATAACAGAATAAAGTGTGAATGAAGAAACTGATTACACAGAAGAGGCAAGGAAATCCTCAGATAATGTGACTATTTCTAAGCTCAGGCACAGCGGTTGCACGATAACTCCGCCGGCCCCGGGCTGCTTCTCCGAAGGCGCACAGTTAGCTGTACATCTTCTCTGTCAAATAAATTACTTTATCGAGATAACGGCCATCTTTCGACTCAAATTTGGTTTCTGAACGAGAAAATCTGGGTTGCGAGCGCCAAAAGGAAGAGCAGCGCTAGGAAAAGGCCCACGGCGACTGTCACTCGAGGCGCTACTCCGCCTGCGCCGTCGGGGCCCCGCGTTCCCCATCCCAGCGCGCGGGGCGGTCCGGACCGGGCCGGCCGGGCCGCTCCGAACCTTGGTCTCCTCGACTATACAATGGGGAGAATAGCCGTCGGTCGGTGGTAAACCAGGAGCGCGGTAAAAGCGCGGCCAGCGCCGTCGCTGTCGCCGTGCTCCCGTGGGGAGGGGGCCTTCGACCCAGAAGGTGGCCCCGGCGGCTCGGAACCCGCTGCTTCCTCCCGCGCGCCCCCATTTGATCCTAGACTCGGGGCGCGTGGCCGGACCGAGGGCAGAAGAAGCAAGCCGTGGGCACGAAGGACCCGGCGAAGGGCAGGGTCCTGGGCGGACCCCAGCGGGCGCGGCAGCCGGGCCCCCGCCCCCATCGCGGGGTGTAGCGCGGCGCCCCCAGGGCGGAGGACTGCGGTGGAGGGCAAAGGTCGCCTCCCCGAGGGCCGGAGGTCGAGGGCCGGGCCGCGGCGGACGGCCAGGGTCCGGCGGGAGGAGGCCGGGCCCGAAGGCGGCAGGTGCCCGAGTCCAGGCCGTGGGGCCGCCCTCAAGTCCCCTCGGGCGAAATGAGGCCGGGACGCCTGGGGCGGGCGGGGGGGTTCTGGGTCCCAGTTACCGGAGCCGTTGGGGCCGATAATGCAGGTGAATTTCCTGAAGGGGCCGATGACCTGGCGGCCCCGCCACGACTTGAAGTTCTCGACGAGAAGCAGCTCCAAGCGACCCATGGCTGCGCCCTGCGCGCCTCAGCCGCGTTCTCACACGAAAGCGGGAAAAGCGCGGGAAGGGCTTCGCAGGATCTCGCGAGAGCAGAGCGAGAACTCGGCGAGCGCCGCGCCGTTTCTTAGCAACCGCGTTGTTTACGTTTCCGAGGAAACCGGGTCTCCTCACGCTCTGCTTGTTCCGAGAGGGCTGGCTAGATAGAAAGCCCGAGGAGCAGGCTCGTATCCCACCCGCCCACCCTGCTAGGAAGGCAGCCTCGCTCGAGCTACAGCTCATCTTCTTTTTGTCGTCTGTTCTTTTCATCTCGCATTTTAAAAACCTCTTAGAATTTTTGGCGATTCCCAGTCATGGAGATAGTGGAGCCCAAGGACCTGGAGCAGCACTTCAGCTTGGCCAAGAGGAGACATATGGAGTTATGCAGGCAGAAACGGATCTTCAACGCCAGAAACAGGATCATCGGGGTGAGACCCTCGGGCCGACAGGGAAGGGGGCCGGGAGGGAAGGTGAGGGGCAGGCGGGGTGCGAGAGGCGGGCGGCTTTTACAGAATTGTTGATGAACACCTCGAATGAAACTTTTGATCCAAGAACAGCTCTGTAAATGGCACCGGGCTTTTCCAGGGAAAACTAGTTAAATACATTGACTCTGCCGAGGACGAGCGAGACCTTAACAGAACACATAATACTCACTCCCACTCGCCAGACTAGCAGATTGAGTCTTTCAGCGAGGAAGAGTTTGCCTTGAGTTAGTGGGGCAAGGGGAACTGGAATGGGGTTCTCCTCTCTCTGAGTCAGATTTTCTACATTGTCAGGGGTTCCTTCCTGTCCATTCATTTGACATATGCCGGCAAAGTTCCTATTTTGTGGCAAGCCTGACCTGGGACCAGGAGATGAGGAATAAGGCGATCTTTGACCTTGCAGAGTTTACGGCCCAATGGGGGAGGCAGACATTAAAATGGTCACATTAAAAATGTCGTGGAATTGGTGCTGTGAGGAAGGACAGCACAGAGTAGAACTGGAAGAGGAAGTCCGAGAGGGCTTCCCAGAGGAGGTGATGCCTTCTCAGTGTTCTGAGAATGAGTATCTGTTAAGTAAGATGAAGGAGAAGGAAGCTCTGAAGGAACTTAAGAGGCCAGGTTGAAGAACCAACCATAAGCAAGAGCATTCAGGTATGAAAAGACCTGCTGGGTACCTAACACACCTCGTCGACAGTGGGGCAAGGATAAAAAAGATAAGTAGGATCGCTAATAACAGAATAAAATTATCTGGGTCTAACTCCTCTCCCCGTTTTCCATTCCAGGGAGATACAGAAGCCTGGGATGTTCAGGTCCATGACCAGAAGATAAAAGAAGCCACCGAAAAGGCCAGACATGAAACCTTTGGTGAGCGTTTTCTAGACGCCTACGTAGCAGTTTAGGGCCGTGTGCCTCTAGACTCCAGTCCTCATTTTGTCATATGGGTAAAAACTTGTCCTTTTCGCTCTCTTCCCTCTTTTAAATTTTCACAATTCCTTGTGCTCAGTTAACTTAATGTGCTCATTCTTCTTCTCTTAAAAGAAAAACAACTATTGAATCCTACGTGAGTTCCAAGAAATATATTTTGAAGATAAATGTATGTTTTTCTCCGTTTTCTAAAAAAAAAAAAAAAAATCCTGGATATGAAAAACATTAAACATATACATTCTCTGCCAAAAAGTTCAAGACCAGCAGCTCTTTACACTAGATGACACACACACGCTCCCAGCTCACACCCTTGAGCTGACTCAGAAGTAGATATGGTTCAAGTCATTGTGTTCTAGCTCTTAGATAAATTTGCAAATAGAACTCATTTTCTCACATGTGTAACAATTTCAGCTTATTTTTTTAAAAGCACTATAAAGATATTTAAAATAGAAAAAAGCAGGGGACCCCATATTCTTACAGAACCCCAATATGTACATACATAATGAATTTGGTTACTTTTTCTTGTTTAAAAAAATAGAAAAAAGTAGGATATAAAATTATATATACAATGGGTTATCGATTAGTTTAAAAACATAGAAAATATGAGCAACTAATCATCTATTATATTTCAATTAAAATTAATTAATTAAAAAATATATACATATATATAAAAGATATGCTTAGAAAAAGACAGAAAAGAGTTATGCCAAAATGTTAGCAATGGTAATGTTGGAGTGATGAAATTATGAGTAAAGCATTTCCTTCTTCATACTGTACTATATTTTCTAAATGTTTTACTGTTTTATTTTTAGTTTAAAAATAATTCAAACTTACAAAAATGATGTGATAGATACATACATATCTACCACCACCATTTGATTAGGTGTTAACATTTTGCCAAATTGGCTTTTGATATTATATTTTAAGAATACTTTTTGAATATACGTATCCATCATTTTCTTCTTCCTCTCTCCTCAGAGGTGTGCATCATTCCCATGCATGTTTTTGTACTTGTACTATTTACATATGTATCCATGACAATCTAAAATAGTTTTTTGTACGTTTATGCATTTTACATAAATGGTGTCACATTGAATGGATCCTTTTGCGACTTTTTAAAAATTCAATGTTGTAATTTTTTGAAGTTAATTCATGACCTACATAGAGAATATTCATTTTAATTGGTTTATGATATTTTATTACATGAATTAACCACAATTTCTTTATCTATTCCTCTATTGATAGCAGATTTAGATTTTTCCAGTTTTTTTTATAATTGCAAAATATGCTGCAAATCATTGGATATTTCTATTCATCTTTTCACCAGTTTATCAATCATTCAGGTTTCTTTATATGATTTGCCAGTTCCTATTCCTCACCTGTTTTTTGGTTGGGTTCTTTGGTTTTTTAAAATTGATTTATAGATGCTCTTTGTATATTCAGGATTCTAATCCTTTAATGGTTATGTTACCTTTTTGAAGGGTTGTATTACTTTTAGAATCATTAAAAATAATTTTTAAAGTAGATTCAAATTAATTTTCCCTCTGAATCTTAAGCTTACATATTGATGTGTTTTGTCTCTTCTAGCTGCTGAAATGAGGCAAAATGACAAAACCACATGCATTCTGGAAGGCCGGGAAAGGAGAGACAGGAAAAACCTGTGCAAAGCTATCAACGACTTCCAACAGAACTTTCAGAAGCCAGAAACTCGCCGAGAATTTGACCTTTCTGACCCCCTGGCCCTTAAGAAAGATCGTGTACCCCGGCAGTCAGATAATGATGTTTGGAATACTGTATCGGGAATGCAGAGATTCATGGGCGAGGATTTAAACTTCCGCGAGAGGAAGAAATTCCAAGAGGAACAAAACAGAGAGTGGTCCTTGCAACAGCAAAAGGAATGGAAGGATGCCCGTGCCGACCAAAAATGTGCAGGTAATGAAACAAAAAGACACACTGGTTCCAATACTTTCTTCAACAAATCAACTCCTGTTTTTGTTTCGTTTTGTTTTTTAAGTCCTACTAACGTGCGGCTTTGGCCTTGTGGGGAGAGAGAGACATCAGAATCTGTGTTCCCGGATTTAAACCTCTCCACTCACGCGTCCGTGATGCAGGAAACACTTTCTGAGCTTGCGCTGTCGGGGCTGCAGGGGGCGCTGGAGCCCAGAGAAACTCAGGATCAGTCCCTGCGCTCGGTGTACTTGCAGTCTGCTGGGAAGACACGGCGCGGGGTATGGGGTACAGGGTCCAGCCCACTTCAGTACAAGTCCAGTAAGGCACTCTGACCACCCCGAACGCGACCTTCCACTTCCGTCAGTGGAAACGCCATGCTTCTAGTGGCCCAGCCTCACCCCCTAAGTCATCTTTCTCTCAAAAGCCAAGTCATCCCGAATCTCAACCGCCTTTTACCACCGCTGCCATCAGCGGTCCGGACTAAGCTATCCTCCACTCTCTGCGGGATTGTTGCACTAGCCTCTGCCTGGTCCCCCTGCTTCTGCCCTCGTCCCCCTGCAGTCTCTTCTCAACCCAGCTGCCAGAATGAGCCTGTTAAGGTTAAGCTAGATCCTTCGCTCAGAATCTTCCAACAGCTTCTCGTTTCACTCAGGAAAAGCCAATTTTCTTCCAAGGACCAACAAGGCCTTCGGTCCGGCCTTATCTCCTCCTGTGCTGCCCTTCATTCATCCCCGTCCTTGCCACACCGGCTTCCTGTCTCTTCCCAGAACTTGAGTGTGTCAGGCTCACTTCTGCCTCGGGGCTGCTGCACCTACGGTTCCGTCTGCTGGGAAACATATTTCCCCAGATACATGTGCATGGCTCACCCCCTTGCCTGCTTCAGGTCTTTGGTAAAAATGTCATCTTATCAGTGAGGCCTCCCCTGACTACTATTATAAATTGCAACCCTGTACCCTTCCCCTCCCCCACATTCTCTATCGCTTCCCTTGCTTTACTTTTCTCCGTAGCACTGATCGCTGATGCACCACATGGTTATGTATTTGTCATCTCTCTCCCCAGTCTCATCTCCTCAGCTCCATGAAGGTAGGAGATTTTGTCCGTTTTATTCATTGCTCTCTCCTTAGTTCCCGGCACATAGATAAATATTTGTTGAAATAATCACCACTAGGGCTTTCAAAATCTCATCCATCTCCCAGGCGCTCCGCCTTTCCATCTCCGGCTGAGAGCCTTTGTCTCAGCCTTGGACTTGGTCCTTGAGCTGCCTCCGGGACATCTCACCAGACGTCGCTCATACTGGAAATGACCCCTTAGTTTTTCCCTGGACCTGCCCCTCCCTCCCGCCTCCTCCCCTCACTCAGTGACGCCACCTTTCCTTAGTCGAGCGAGAAGCCTGGGGGTCATCCTTGACCCCTCTTGTCTCCAGGCCGTCCTCAACTCCTGACCCTTCTACCTCCTTTATATATTTTGGACTGTCCACTTCTCCCATCCCTACTGTCACCGCCACTGTGATGCAAGCCGTCATCTTTTTCACCTGGACGGACCACACCAAGGGCTTTCTAACGGTCTCCCGCTTTCTTTCCTGCCTCTCTCTGGTCCATTCTCAATTTAGCAGTCAGAGTGCTACTTTTTGTCAAGTTGAACAGTGTTACCCCCACCCCCTCCACTCCAGCTCGAGACCCTCTAATGGCTTCTCATTACATATGGAATAAAATGCCCATGCTCAGCGCTCCAGTCCCACCTTACACCCCCACCGCTCCACTCACGATGTTCCATTCATTCCGGTTTTCTTTCACTTCTGGATCCCGACAAATTTTTCTCCGCGTTAGAAACTTTGCACCTGCTCTCCACCAACTTCTCACGTCCTTCAGGACTGAGCTTAAATGTCACTTCCTCCTAGAGACGCCATCTGTTACTCCCCACCCTCCTACTATGTAAAGTCAGTATTCCCAACATTTTCTCTCAGGACTATTTCCCTCTGTAGCGCCATCATCATTTGTAGTAATATGCCTGGTCCAAGCTTCTTTTGTTTATTATCTATCTCAGCTCCTAGACAGTATTCCAGAAAGGCAGGAAAGCCCTTCATTTTGCTCGCCACTGTATACTACGTTCCCAACAGAGTGCGTGGCCCATGTGAGGCTCTCGATAGCTCTATGTAAAATGAATGGACAAGAAAATGAAAGGTGAGAGTTGAAGGTGAAGGTGAAGGTGAAGGTGAGCAGAGGCCAGAAATTCACCACAAAAGAGTTTGGTCTTTGTTTTTGGAGACACCGAGAGACCCACGAGCACAAACATCATGGGAAGAACCTATTGATGAATGACTTTTTATAAAATAGCAACCCTACAAAGTAGGAGTTGTCCCACCTCACAGGTGAGGGCTAGAGGCTCAGAAAGGTGAGTAATAAATGATTCAGGCTGACAGAAGTAGGAAGTGTCTGTGCTGGGCTACGAGCTGCTCTGTCTGACTCTAAATCTTTTATGTTTCGCTGTTTGGATGCTCCGCTTTTGACCCCTTTTCCTCCTCCTCGGCAAAGTCCTACTGCCATTCCACGGATGTTTATTACCCCTGCCTCTGAGGAGCCCCATCCGGTTCCCACAGCAGAGCTCCCCTTTTACTGGGCTATCCCTTGCCTGCAGTAAGGAAGTAGTGGCCCCCTGATAGATCAGGGATGGCAGGGGGGCCCATTGCTCCCCTCCCAGGACCACAGCAGACGTTACCAATCCACAGCAGTGATGGCTAACACTCAGTGCCAGGCAGGAATGGAAGAGCTTTGCTTGAATTAATTTTCCAAGTCTCCCGACAGCCATTCAGGGATGCATGAATGGACACTCTCGAGTGCGCTCTGCATGCCTGGGGGAGCTCTGGGTGGACACACAAGGTTTGCTGGTGTTTTGCTTCCTTTCAGAGGACTTCTACGTGCAGACAAGGCTGCAATTTGACGAAACAGCCAAACATTTACAGAAACTGGAAAATGCCACCAGAAGGGCGGTTTGTGCAGCTGTGAAAGAATTCAACAAGACCCAGGTATGCCCAGGCTCTGACTGGAGGGGACGACAAGCACACAGACGCGACCCGGGGTGGCCTGCTCCCCTGCAGTGGGCCTGTCTAGTTACAGAAATGGACCAGACGCAGTCCCTGCTCCTGAGCTCTGAATCTGGGCATGAAACCCGACAGAACTAGCCGTGCGAGCTGGGAGTGGGGTCAACTCACCTCTCTAAACCTCGGGTTCTTCTGTAATACGAGGACAGCGACATTTACCTAGAGGGGTCCCAGCGAGCTCTGATCTGACGCCTGGTCTTGTTTTATCTCTTTTTCACCGGCCTTCAGAGTCCTCCTCCCAGGAGCAGGTGCTCAGGCACGCAGCGATGGGAGCAGCCAAGATGGCAATGATGATGGCGCAGGCTTTGGGGGGTCTCCTGATGGCCCCCTCCTCCCCAAACCTGCCTAGCTTCCTCACAGACACTCCTATCCAAGCAGATCCCAGGCTGAAGTCACTTCAAGTTCTCTGTTCCTTTTGGAGATTAGGCTCCTCTCGCTCCAGGTTTTCTTTTCACATGCAAATATATTTCCTAGGTAGGGCAGGGGCTTGGCCTGGATTCATTTATCAGATTAGCTGGTTGTCCAGAACTGTGGTCTGAAAAGTAGAGCACATGAGATGGTCCGTCGGAGAGCAGGGCGAAGATGTTAGAACTCCGCTCACGTGTCTCTTTGACCTCACTGCATTAAATTCCCGGCTGTGCGTGCACGCGCATGATGAAGCACATGCTATGCTTATGGTCTAATAGTACCGCCTTGTGAACTAAATAGATCGGAGACACAAGCTCAAATGTGTTCCGCCCATGGAGGTACGTGATCAAAACTCCTTGGGAGGCTGGGCTGGAGGAGACCGGAGAGAATGTTGGTTTTCAACAGCAGGGAGAGGAGCGAGACGGGCCATCTGCCCAGATGGGGAGGGGTGACCAAAGGGCAGATCACAGAGGCACAGGTCACCAACCAGCCAGCTGCAGGGGTCTTGGCGAACACCTGGCCCTGTCCCTTCCTTTCGCAGAGGAGGCCCAGAGAGGGGAGATGCTTTGCTCCAGGCCCCACAGCAAATTAATGGCAGAATTGGGCTCTTTTAAAATTTTTTCAAATATTTTTAATTTTCCAGTTATAGTTGACATTCAATATTATACTGGCTTCAAGTGTACAGCATAGTGGTTAGATGTTTATATACCTTACGAAGGATATCTCGATAAATCCCCAGCAGAATGGGGCTGATTCTTCCTCCACTATTGGCTGGCTGGCCTTCCAGTCACTCATTTATTCCCTCGTTCATTTATCAGTTCAGCAATATTCACTAAACCTGCCCGCTGGGCTCTGGCTTGTTGTTTGCTAAACCGTGTTGCCACGTTCATCAGTTTACTGATTCATTTATTCACTACGTTTTGTAGGGAGCGCCTTTCAGGTCCCCCAGCTCTTCACGTGGACACGGCAAGGCCACATCTTCACGCCCTGTGCTGGGGAAAGCCAGCAGCTCCACTCCCGACTAGAAATAGGCTTTGTTAGTTAGCCTGGGGCATTAACACAAAACTCTAGATAACTGACCTCAAAAGAAAATTCAAGGTCAGTCCAATTCAGCAGGGAGACGCACACTTGGGAGCCTCCGGATCTTTACGGGGGGCAGAGAGGGGTGCATTTTATCAGAGGCGGTGCTGGGAGGCACTGTGTTGCCGGGGTTCGGCGTGCAGGCGCCAGAGCCTAACTGCGTGCTTGCAAGAACAGGCTCTTCTCTGTAGCTAAGAAAAGCCACTTATGCCCCTCGGTTTTATCATCCGGGGAGTGGAGATAATGATGATGACACCTACCTTTGCCAGAGCGAGAAACATCCCCCAAATCTCAGTGGCTTAAAACGCAGTGTTGACGTTCGTGACGCTCCATGTCCATCTCGGTTGACCAAGGGACTGTACTCGTCATCCTCACTCTGGGACCCTGGGACAGAGCAGCCACCAGCTGGAGAACTCCAGCAACAGCACAGAGAAGGCATAGGGCTGACCCCCCGACACCACACACACACACCTACCAGAAGTGTCCCTATCACCTCTGCTCACGTCACACTGGCCAAAGTAAGCCTGGGACATGCTCACTCCAAGTGGGCAGGGAATTATAATTCTGCCACCTGCCCAGAAGGAGCACTGTCCACAATGTTTAGTGACCAGCAGTACTGGCGATCACGCTCCTGAGGTCGTAGTGGGGTAAAACGAGGTAATACATGGAACGTGATCAGGACTCGTCAGTGAGAGCTATTATTTTTAATCCCAGCGACAGTGAGATGCTCTCATGAGTCACTGGGTCCAACCAGCCTGCCAGAGGAGCACGATCAACCCAATTTAATGGATAAAGGAACAGGCTCAGGGGGGAACTGACTCTCCTAGGGACACCCAGGTACTCACCTGATTTGCTTTGGCAAATTCAAATACTGGCTGTCCGGTATTTGAGTCAGGCCCGTCCGGCTGCAAAGCATGTGCTTCTGTGACGCAACCAAGTCAGCCGCTGTCTCATGCGGTGTGCCAGGCCCCTTGCAAAGTGCCCCGTCTGTTCTTTACGGAAGAGAATCGATAATACTGATGAATGTCTCTTGACAGAGAAATAACTGCAGCCTAGGGAGGTGACGTGCTTCAGGTCACACAGCCTGGGCTGTCCTTCCACTCGTCACCCTCCCTTGAGCAGGGACTGGCCCAGGAGTTGACTTGTACCAAGGCCTGTGATGGGGGTGCAGGGAGCACCGAGGTAACATTGTGTTTTCACCTTTTAGAGCCCACCACGGTTGTGCATCAGTGTGTTGGATGTTCTTTGTGGCCTGCAGCCAGACAAGGGTGACCAGGGCCACAGGGAGGGGCACAGAGCCCTGCCCCAGGGTGACTGAGGCCCAGGCAAGGGGAGAAGGCAGCCCCACCCAGGGAGGCAGCTCCATGCTTTGGCAAATTGGTGCTAAGACCCAAAGCAACTCGGCACACAACCAACAGATGGCGATTCCCCAGCCCAGCCCACATGCCCGTTATTGCCCGTCATCGCCCCGGCGGCCAGGGCCCAAGGGCCACCCACATTCATGCCTGACCAGTCCACCACCCCGCCCCGTCCCTGGAGCCCTTTAGCGCATTCTTCCTTCAAGGGCCCCCAGTGAGATTTGCCGGCCTGTCCGTCACTCAGAGCATCTTCCTCAATGTCTTCTCCTGCCTAGGCTACAGAGTCAGCGGAAAGGAAAAGTCTAGAGAAAAAACAAGAACAAGAGGACAACCTGGCCGAGATCACCAACCTGCTGCGCGGGGACCTGCTGTCCGAGAACCCGCAGCAGGCGACCAGCTCCTTTGGGCCCCACCGCGTGGCCCCCGACCGCTGGAAGGGCATGACCCGGGACCAGCTGGAGCAGATCCG